AGAGAGAGAGAGAGAGAGAGAGAGAGAGAGAGAGAGAGAGAGAGAGAGAGAATATACACTAATGAACTGGTTGTCATCCCACGAACATGACCCTGTAAACTCCCCCGTCAGAGATCAATAAACGTCCATTCATTCATTCATTACAATTCGTTGGCGTACTAATGCTGCAGCAATGTATTAGATTCAAAGACATGATTAGCGACTCAAGAATGTAATTGACGATCGTATCTTATCATCAAATAAATTGTCTTTTCATTGCAACATTTAGGCGTGTATCTACTACTCTTACCTCAGAATTAAAAGTTCTATCTGCTCAGTGCCTTTTTTTTTTTTTTAAAGAAATCTGAAAAAAAAATTTAAGTTAAGTTTCACAATATGTCTAGTTTTTCGAATGCAATTCTTCAAATATCTTGATAACGACCAACTCCGGATATTCTTACAATTTAGATAGAGCTGACAGAGCATTTGCTTTCTGACTTCATTGTCTTAGTAACTCAAAAGGGCCGAAAATCTCAGATAGAACTTTGTAATTCTGAGGTAGCTTACGTATAATTATATGTGAAGTACATTCTCTTGTCTCCCCCGGGACCGATAAGATTATTTTGTCAACCCTCCTCATAAAAAGATGAGGGTTTTGAACTGAAAGTACGTACGAGCTTCTCACCTTACGTAACGGTCTTTCCATCGCGTGTGCCTCTGTCTGGTCCACGGTGCCTGCCTCATCGCATGTGCTGACGTAACGCGGTACTGGGCTCTGAAAGGCTTCCTGTGTCTCCTCGTCAAGGGAGACATTCACATGTTCCACTAGTGTCGCAGCCACCTCATAAAACTTTCTCTGATAATTGAATGCGTTGATAGTTTTTAATATCATAATCGCTTGTAATGACTGTAAATTCAATGTTTTACGCCCCCATCAACATGATTTAGATCATTTATTCAAGAGACGGTTTGCTTTCACCCTGCCTGTCACGGCCAACCCAGGGTCAGGTAAAAGACAGTATAAATGTCAGAAAGACGGAGATGATGAAATTTATCTCGAGAGGAAATCAAACACCCCCCCCCCTCACACACACACGGCACGCATGCC